CTAAAATCTTGTTTCAAGACCTAGGTTATTTACTTCTCACAAACCTGCATCCAGAAGAAAAGTCGTTTTGATCCTGCTTTGAATTTCAACACATAGACACGACCAGTCGTACACTGAGGTACCCTCTTGAATTCACAGTCATCAGGAAAAATAATCAAATCCTGGAAAATACGGCAACAGCAAAAAATGTTTTAGGAAATATCTGTTATTCCTTTTAGTCTCCCACAAAGGCCTCTGCCCCCCTGCTCCAACCCTCTTCCCCAAGGTTTCTCAGGGCATTAGGATTTAGATGTGCCCACTATGAAGCCACAGTGCCATTCTCACCCTAATTTGTCTTGAAAAACTCTTTCGCAACGCTGACAAAACAAAGACAAGACAACACTGTGACTCAACACCCTGAAACATGAACCATACTCACATCTTCAACATTGCCTGAAGTCCTGTCTTTCCAGCAAAAATGGATGAGGGAATCATCAGTTTGCTGGATGTAAACGAGGCCTTTTCTCTTGTCTGGGGTTACAGTACTGCCTTTCAGGGACATCTTCCCGGCCCGAAATTCCACCAGGTATTTGCTGGAAGAGCCACGGGAGCCTGGCACCAGGCTCGGAAACAACGCGCCTGAAGACATCCTGGAACAGAGAGAGATCAAGCAGATGTGAGCAGGAAGCTTCCCACACCCCCTCCTCTCAGCACAAGACTTCACAAAACGAGCTGCACAAAAGGAATCTGTTCCGTGGGCCCAGGAGCTGGAAGGCACTGCAAAAGCCGAGGCAGAACCTAGAGAGCAGCATGAAGAAAAGCTCGTCTGCTGCTAATGCACTGGAAAATGAATTCACTTTCTCCCTGAAACTCCCTCCTTTGGTCTCTACCGCGGTTCCTGGGATCATGGTGTTTTCACTGCATGAACCTCTCCTGCGACTCCGACCTTCAGTGACCGGTGCCCCACACGCGCTCGGTGCTTAACCCCTCCGACACCGCCTCCTCGCACGGATTACGTGTCCCGAGCGGACCGCGGCGAAGCAATAAACTGACGTTACTGCCCTAAAACAGCGACCGACGCCGGCCCGCGCCGCTTCGCGCCTTAGTTTTAAGTCGCTTCTGAACAGGAGTTCGCCGTTCTTATTAGCTGTCCCCCTCTCCCCCCGCAATTAGGACGCGCGGGGCTACCCCGAC